CAGCCAGGCAGAAAGACTGGATGAGGAAGGGCTCAGAAGGGTGCATGGCCTATGGAGGGTCCCAAGAGTAAGATACAGAGACCTGGAGGCATTTGGCCCTTGGGCCTGGGGTATTATATATATATATATTTATTAAATCTGCATTAGCATACAGCCATAGCAAAATAAGACAATACAAAAAATGTTGGGGACAAGCAACCAAGCAAAATTCAAAGCGATATTGCTGGCGTAATGACATTTAAAACACCCTAAGACAATAATACAAAGATTTGGTTGCCAGCACCAAAAAACTAGTATGCGGATATAAATAAAGCATAAAATGGCCCCAAAATAGGCTCAGCACATTGAGTTAAAAGGTAATAAAAGAATTAAACAGGTCCAGGACTAGGGCACACTACCCTATCAGAGTAGCCCTGAGTTTCAGAGCCTGCACTATGAAGATTGCCACCCCACGTGAAATTTGGGGATTTGCGTCCACAAGAAGTGCTTTCAGACAGTCTTCCTTAGATGAAATGGAGGACGGGATCAAGAGGAGGAGCTTAGGTCTTATTGGGTCATAAATAGGGCAGTAGAAAAAGAGATGTATGAAGTCCTCTACTTCGTTCATTGTGCATGGACATAGACGCTGAGTAATAGGGGTCTTAGAGTAGGTCCCCTGCAAGAAGGCCGTGGGTATAGAATGAAAACGGGCCATTGTAAACGCTCTTCTCAAATTGGGCTCCGTCAGGTCTATCAAGTAGTTGGCAAGTGATCTTACCACTTTCACTTTAGGGAGCCACATGGAGAGGCGAGCTGAGGTGGACTGTGCCCGGTCCATGGCCTCATCTCTTATAAGAATCCAGTCCCGGATTTTATGTTGGTCCCAAGATGACAACGTGTCGAATTCTGGGAGGGAGTAGCGTACAGTAATAGTCTCCATGGCCTTGGACCATTTGTTGGAGTGAGAACAAGTTAAAAGGCTTGCCTGGCTAGTAGGGAACCTGGGGCATTGATTAATTTGCAATAAAAACTAATAATTCTAATATGGGCTCTCGCAACAATGGAGGGAGGCCCAGTTCTGTTCTTAACTGAGCAGCAACCGATCCCTTGGGAGACCCAGTATCTTTCGTACAAAAGAGTTTTGTAGAATCTCCAGCCGTTGAAGTGTTTTTAAATTCCACCCCCAGATTTCAACCCCATACAGTAACATCGGGAGGACTTTGCTAATAAATGCTTTTCTGATTGGTGGAACCAACTGGCCGCCTTTTGCATAGAAGAATTTCTCCAAGGCTTTGATGGTTCTACGGGCAGCCAGGATGGTCATATTTAGGTGAGCTGACCAGCTAAGCCCATGCTGAAAAGTGATTCCCAAATACTTGAAAGCTGAGCAATATTCGATAGAGTGGCCCTCAAAGTTCCAGAATGACTTCCAAGTTTTCGTGCCAAAAGTAAGAATTTTGGTTTTGGCGAAATTGATTTTGAGGGAATTGGTATCACAATATGTCATGAGCCCTCTGAGCATGTTGTTTAAGCCCTGCTTGGTTAAAGACAGTATCACCATGTCGTCCGCATAGAGTAATATGGGGATCTTGAGGTGTTGTAGAGAGGGGGCAGATTGATTTAGGGCCTGCATAGTTGTAACGATGTCGTTAATATAGAAATTGAATAGAAAAGGGGCCAAGAGGCAGCCCTGTTTGACCCCTTTATTCAGAGGGAAAGAATCAGAAAGAGCTCCCAGGGGGCCGAATTTTACTCTGGCCGATATGTCATTGTGAATTTCCATAAGAAGAAGGAGGAGTCTCTTATCTATGTTGGTGTAACTAAGCTTCTGCCATAGCCTATCTCTGGGAATGGAGTCAAAAGCGGCGGTCAGGTCCACAAAAGCCGCGTGTAGTTTGCAGTTAAACCTGTTTAAGTATTTATCAATCAGGGTAAATAGAACAAGACATTGGCCAGATGTACTGTGACCTTTACGGAAGCCAGCCTGTTCCGGGTGGAATAGCTTTGTTTCTTCTGCCCACTCGATTAATTTCTCTAGCAAGAATCTAGAGTAAACCTTGTATGATATGTCTAGCAGGCTGATGGGTCGATAGTTACGCGGATCTTGTGGGTCCCCCTTTTTATGTATTGGGATGACTATGCTCTGTTTCCAATTTGGCGGGATCTTAAGAGTGGCATTAATAGTGGTAAAGAGAGATGCAAAAATAGGGGCCCACCACATCTGGTTCAATAAGAATACCTCGGGTGGAATCATATCCTCCCCCGGGGATTTATCCCCTGATAACATGCTAATTAGTTGTACACATCTCTCTGGGGAGACTGGCTCCCAGGTGGGCAAGGGAGATGCAGGAAGAGTGGAAACTGCGTTTATGTCGGAATCTGGGGCAGAATACAGCTGAGCAAAGTGAGAGTGCCAACTGGCTGCTGTGATGTTATTAACGATGAATGAGGGGGGTCTTAAACCTGCATTAATTAAATTCCAGAATTTCTTGTCGTCACGGGTTTTAATGGCCACTGACAATGCCGTCCAGCGTTCTTTCGCAAAGATCAATTTCTTATGTTGGAGCAACTTCTTGTAGTAAGAACGGAATTGGGCTAACTCCCTGATTTTGCTCTGGGTGCTGTCTGATTTCATATCAGACTGAAGAAATCTAAGCCTACTTCTGCACTGTTTGCATTCTTGGTCGAACCAAGTTTGGTTCTTCCAGGTTAGACTCGCACGGGAGGGTTTCGTAAGTGTTGGGAGCAAGTAGGCTAGAATTTGTTGGAAACTTGAGAAATGATTCACATTCATTGTTACCAGCTGAGCTTTCAGGGCTAGGATCTCAGGGGAATTTAGGAGGACTTTTATGTCTTGCTCCAAATAGATATCCCACTTCTTACGACCGGGGGCTAAGGTCAGTGAATCCTGGTGGGGGAGTGTGATGGGAGCCCCAGCTGTGTGTGGTGGAAGGAGATGGCAATAGGAAGGTGGTCACTTTCGGTTCTGTTGAACACATTGAAACAATATGCCTTATCATTAAGTGCCGAAAAGGACCAGATATAATCTATAACGCTTGCCCCTCTAGATCCTAGAAAAGTATAGTATCCCCCGGACCAGTCTTTGGGTGTACCATGCAAGCTGTGCAGCCCGCAGTTAATGGTAAGGGCCTGGGGTATTAATGTGCATTTTCAGATGTTCCATCACTGTCACCGCCAGTTCTTCTCAACTCCTCACCAAAGCCTCTTAACATAGGTTGCAATGCAGGCAAAGTAACAGTATTTTTAGGTCTAAATGATTTCAGTGGGAGAATTAAGCATATCCTTAAATATTTTCCATTGAGTTTGGTGTTGTTGAGAAGTGCCCTTTTGTATAGGTCTGAATTCTGTATCAGACCATCAGCATAGTGGAACCACAATTAAGTCAACCTTATGATCATATTATTCAGAACTTTATTCCAGAGATCAATCTATTGCCCATGCTCTTAATGATAGTTGTGAGCTTCAGTTTTTACATACTCAAGCCTACTCCAGGGACCATATGGAACAGATTTTGCAGCAGCATCCTTTTGACCACAGTGCTAAGAGGGCAGGGAATACAAAGGTGGCTCTACTGTCATATCCAATACAGGCTTGAGCTGACAAGGCAGAAGGAAGATGGCAGGGAAAGTAGTGAATAGCACCAGCATTTTTTCTCCGCACTAAAGGCAGTGCTGTAGCCCCGACCCCACCCCACCCCCGCCGCCTGCATATCAGGGATATTCCAGCTATCCACCCTGAAGTCTCAGGTTTCATGTTTATTTTTTATTTTTAAGTAAGTTTTTCTTCTTTTTAAAAGACTTGTGCTGATAAAAGCAAAAAGATGCAAACAGGATTCTGCCCAGTAGTCGACTAAGAAGCATCTCATCTTGCCTTCCGGAGTTCTGGGTGCAGAGACACCAGAACAACTGGCAAGCACTAAACTATCCTTATCATTCATGTTTATCAAAATGTAATTGGGTATGGTTAATATTTAGTGCAGTTAAACGACTTTGAACATATAGTAAGAGGCATACCTTGGGCTACCTTGTGCACTAGGCAAGGAGCTGTATCGGTGCTCCCACACACATGAGGAGCTGTATCAGTGCCCCCCCCCCATCACTTGCTCCCTTGACAATGAGATATATTGGTGCGTTCCCCCCCCCCCCCCAAAGCAGCAAAGTGGCCCAGGGAGCATGTGAATGGGCAGGCAGTCTCCTAGCCACTTCTAACCAGAGTGGAGAGGTGTAGTTTTTGCACACACACCCAGGCCTATGCCATTGGTGGGGACCAACCTGGGCAACCCCTACATACGAATATTGGTCAGGTCATGGAACACAGACATCATTGGCTCCTGACAGAACCATCAGTGGTTCTGATTGGTTCTGGTTGAGGTGCCGCCCCCACCTTCTCTAGGGCTCTGTATGACCAGAAGCGAGAAAGTTCAGGCCACAGAGTTTGTGCTGTTAGCTGCCTCAGAGGGCTCCATCACTCTATATTAAGCAGTATCTCATTTGTTTGTTTTAGTATTTTAAAACTGCAGACTGCCTTGAGTGCCTTGGCAGAAAGGCGGTATATAAATGCAGCAAGTAAACAAACAAACAAAGCCATGAAAGGTCACAATTCTTAAAGTTCTGACCATTCTTCATTCATTTCACACACACCAGACTCTTCCTGCCCTTAAGGCTCCTCCCCAGGTTTGACTAAAGGGATCCACCAAGTTATTGTGCTTACATGACAGTAGTGTGGACAATAGCATGTGCTATTGTAGCAGAGTAATTAGAATGCAATTGGGGAGCACTTCAGAGTAGATGAGCAGATAAGTCCTCCATTTCCTAATGCCTGCTAATTTGGTGGAGCTGCTTGCAAGTTTTCAAGCCAGAATGAAGACTCATCATCTTTGACAACTGATAACTCACCATTAATGATTTAACATGTAGTAAAAAAAAATTTTATTTGTAGATTCAGGTAGGTAGCCGTGTTGGTCTGATGCAGTCAAAATAAATTTTAAAAATTTAAAAAATTGTCCAGTAGCACCTTAGAGACCAACTACTGTGTATCTGAAGAAGTGTGCATGCACACGAAAGCTTATACCCAGAACAAACTTAGTTGGTCTCTAAGGTGCTACTGGACAATTTTTGAATTTTATTTGTTTGAATTTTTGAATTTTATCTGTAGCGATGGACTGACCACAACAACTTCTTGTTCAATGTGAAAGGTCAAAAAATGAGTCAGGTAACCCACTTTTCAAAGAATGCTCATACATCTCTTCCATTCCAACATATCTCATCATTTTCTGCTTAAGAAATTCAGCTTTATGATTTAATTAACCTTTGGTTATTAAAGAGAACCAGTATAGGATGCTTCTTGTGGGCTGTGTGAAAAAATAAATTTAATATAACCAAGAGGTCAAGATTCAGACCACACTTTGGTCAGAAAAACAGCAATAGTGCTTCATTATTCACCTCAATTTGAAATTACTATGGCTTCATTTTCACTGGGATGGTAAACTTATGTCTGGGTTGTGCCACTGTAGATTGCAAGAAGCGGCTTGTATCATTTAATACTCCGAACATGCAAACAAACAAATCCCTCCATATAGAAAGCTAGATTCTAGGCCAGCCTTTCCCTGACATACTAATTTATTTTTATTGACTGATTTATTATTTAATTTCTATACTGCTTAATATATTTAAAATATCTAAGCGGTGTAAAAAAAAAAAAAAGGACGCAACAACAGACAACTGTTGTATTTTTGTATGAAGGAAGTAATGTTAGCCGCCTCCTGCTACGGTACTGTCCAGACACAAGTTTGGTACCTCAGTGAGAAACAAACTTATTTCTTGTTAGTGTAAATAATTCACTCAATTGTTTGGAGTCAATATAATTCACATCCTTGTATTTTCTGAGCTACAACAACATAAACATACTAATTCTAAGCCAGGGATTGCCAGTGTGGTGCCATCTGGGCATTGTTGAGCTCCAGTTCCCAACTGTAGAGTCAGAAGGGACTACGAGGGTCATCTAGTCCAACCCCTTGCAATGCAGGATTTTTTTTGCCCAATATGAGACTTGAATCCACAACCCTGAGATTAAGAATCTCATGCTCTGCCAACTGAGCTATGCCACATACATTGGCTACCCTTGATCTAAGCTCTTTGGCGTGTATCACATTAAGTCACACTCTGATTAGACTCATTGAGATCTATGGGCATAAGTTGGCCATTGCTAACTTATCCATACATTTCTGTAGATCTACTCTATGAATTAATGGGATACAGCCCCATGATTCTGGTTGCATTTCCCTTATGTATTTATTCATTAAAATGGTATGTTCTTTTTTTTGAACATACCTTCAAAGTAGCTGCTGAGTTGTGACATAATAACATTACAATCAATATAAAACAATCCTGCTTGAATCAGGTTTCTCACAGGCATCTGGTTGGCCAGATCCTGAGAACAGGATGCTGGACTAGACGAGCCAGTGGCTTGATCCAGCAGGCTCTGCTCATGTTCATCAGTAAATGCCACTTGTACTCTGAGTTTACTATCTGAAACTGCTTTAGTTCAAGAGCTCCAGGACACTACAAATTTAGAGCATTACAATTATGTAATTTCAGTTTCCCTTAGCAACAAGAAGAAATTAACAATGCAAAGCAATGTAGGATCCCAGTTTGGGAAAGACCAGCTGGGAGATATGGAAACTTCCTGCAGCCATAACTGCCATGGAAATACTTTTAAGTTGAGCAGGAACCTTGGCAAATTAAGGGATTGTCTAGGCTAGGGTTTGATCACGTTTATCCTGTTTGGGTTTGCTTTTTCTCCAAAGGGAGTAATTTAGGTTTCTGTAATTTGGGGGCATTGCATTTCTTTCACTGTAACATTTACATGTCTTTTACTCTTCCTTTTATCTTTGCAAACTTATTATTTCATAAAAATTTGTGTGATCTCAGATTATGTTAACACTCTCATGCTTATAGCTTTAACCTCCCACTACTTAAGGAGGTTTCAGAAAGACCCTAGCCAACTTCTAGAGGCTGTTTGATCTGGTATATAAAATTTAAATCTGGTTTGCTTGTGCAGTTTTCTGATTTTGTGCAAATCTGAAGAATCAAAAGGGGAAAAAATGTATATAAGCATAGCTCCTCTGTTCAGGAGCACACCACAATTAGCAACGAGCATAGCCAGAAAACAAATGAAACCACTGAGGAAGTAATGGGTATGGAATAGGGAGCTGCAGAAAGTTACAAGTTATTCACCCACCCCAAAACACTGAGACAATTTTTCTGTGACTCCAAATGGAGCAACTTGGAGACTGATTGTCCACAATTTAGCAGATTATTCATGCCTGAATTTTACAGGAGATAAGCATCAAGATTGGTGTTGGCCAGGGGTGCCAACCTGAATATAATATTGGGAGAGCCTAGGAAAGCCCCGCCCAAATAATCAGTCACATGACACAGTACACACACTATTTGCATGGCAAGGCCAATCAACTTTGCGGGGGTCAGTCCCCTCAAATATTTTCTTGGGGGAGCAAAAGACCCCTCGGCCCCCTAGGAGTTGGCTCCTATGATGTTGTCTGAGGGTAACTGAAGGCGAAAACACAGTAAACTCTGGTGTGGACAAGGTGTAAGCCCAGTGAGTAAAACCAGCCTCCCTACTTGTATGTCATCACAGTGCATTCCATATTATTTTCCACATCAGAAAGAGATGGCACTGTAATGATGAAAGATATATCTCTGTGTTTTAAAGATGAACACAGTGTGAGTAGAAATTATATTTAATTTATTGGGGTGGGGTGTGGAATCAGGAATGTTTTAAGAAGCAGAATTCTGGAAAAGAAAACTGAGACGAGTTCGACATACTTTGCAAGTAAGAGGTTTTGCTTTTACTCGGAATTCCGAAGTGAGCTTTTGTAAACCCTTCAGATGCCTAGGGGGAAAGCGGGGGTCTTTTGTCCCCTGGAGACCATGATCCACTTAAAATTCACCCAACATGACTAGCTCCCGTATCCTTGCAGTAATTGTGTTTGGCCAGTAGATGGCGCAGCTGCAGCAGGTAGCAGCAAATCTGTAGGGACACTCCTAAAGCATTCAAAACAACGGAGCAGCCCAGCTCCCTTGACTCCCCCTTTGCTTGTCAGCAGCTGGACGCCTGACAGGGACTAGGGAAAAGAGCAGCATGGGAAGAAGGAAGAGGAATGGCGCTGAGCCAGCGTTCAACACAAAGAACCAGCAGCAGGTTGAGACTTTTTCCTGCACAGTGTGTTTCCTGCTGCTGACAGCTCCAACTCAAGGTGGAGAATGGGGACCCCTCTGCCTCTTTCAGGGCACAGCTTCAGGATCCTAAAACCTACAGCAGTCAGGATGGTGCCAAAAGGGTGTAAACAAATACGGGTGCATGCTTGTAAGAACAAAGAAATGCAGAAATTCCAGGGGACCTCCTCAGTCCTTCACTTTTAAGATGGAGGACATAATTCATGCCTGGGACTAGACTTGGATTTGCTTTGTAATGTCCAGGTTCATGGCCCACAGCTCAGTGGTAGAGTGCATCTGCTTTGCATGCCAAAGATCCTGGGATCAATCTACAGGCAGGGCTGGGAGAGAACCCAGTCTGGTACACTGGAGAGCCACTGCCATTCAGTGTTAGACAACCCTGGTAATGTAGCTTCCTGTCTTCCTAAGAATGTTTTTAAATGTGTACAGAGTGCCTTCATGCAGGAGCAGACAGTGACTGCAGACATCTCCATCACTTACAGAATGAAGGAGAATGGCCTTTTGGAGGGGCTTGAACCCAGGGTTGCCATATTCCAAAAAGTAAAAACCAGGACACCCCTAGCTGAGCTTTTTTTTAGATAACCCCCAAATTGTTGAGCTTTTTCTTCTTCTTCCAGAAACTACTTGCCTAAGATCCAGGAGAAAGTGCCACCTTTCGGAAATCCCTCCTGAACGTCAATTCCACCTTTGAAATCCCGGTAATGTAATGCAGTGCTACTTGAACCTGACATCTTTGAAATTAAGCGCTGTCTGTCTCCACTTGAAATCTATCTATTCCCTGCCTTTTCAGAATAGACTGAGTATTCAGCAAAGTAACTTTGTGAGAATAGGATATGGAGAAACATGGGGAAGGGCTGTAGCTCAGTGGTGGAGAACTCTGCCTTGCATGCAGAAGGCCCCAAATTGAACCCCAGGCATCTTCAGGTAGGAGATGTCAGGAGAGCTGCTGCCAGTCAGTGTAGAGAACACAGAGCTGAATGGGCCAGTAAAAGTAAAGGGACCCCTGACCATTAGGTCCAGTCGTGGCCGACTCTGGGGTTGCGGCGCTCATCTTGCTTTATTGGCTGAGGGAGCCGGCGTACAGCTTCCGGGTCATGTGGCCAGCATGACTAAGCCGCTTCTGGCGAACCAGAGCAGCGCACGGAAATTCCGTTTACCTTCCCGCCGGAGCGGTACCTATTTATCTATTTGCACTTTGAGGTGCTTTCGAACTGCTAGGTTGGCAGGAGCAGGGACCGTGCAATGGGAGCTCACCCCGTCACAGGGATTCGAACCGCCGACCTTCTGATCGGCAAGTCCTAGGCTCTGTGGTTTAACCCACAGCGCCACCCACGTCCCTTGAATGGCCCAGTAGGACTGGCTTAATATAAGTCAACTTCCCATTTTCCTATGTGCCAACATACTTAGAGTTGCCAACTATATTTCCATTCCGTGTTTTTTTTTAAAGGTTGTGTATGACAGAACTCGGAAACACAGCTTCATCTGCCAAACTTCAGCTGGTCAACAGCACAGTGCAAGCTGCTTGCCAGACAAAAATAATAGCAACCTCAAGTGCAGTGACACAAAGGTGCTTTGCAAAATGTTTTTAAATTGTCTATATTGTACTGCAACCAGGAAACACTAAACAGAGATCAGAAACATGTGAGCTAAGTGCCCACTACCTGGGAATGGGGCTGCAACTCAGCAGGAGAGCATCTGCTTAGCGTGAAGAAAGCCTCAGATTCAATCTCCAGCTTCTCAAGTTAGCGCTGGGCATGTCCTCTGTCTGAAACCCTAAGGAACCATACTGCCAGTCAGTGTAGGCAATACTGAGCTCAATGGGTTAATGACTCCTGTTCCTAACACACAGCGGAGGAATTATGTGCAGCAACTGTCACAGTACAATCCTAACCATGCTACTCAGAAGTCAGACCTACTGTTTTCAGAGAGCCTTACTTCCAGGTAAGTGGGGATGGGATTACAACCTAACATCTGTTCTTAGATGATTCATTTATAGCAACACATTGCAAATACTCTTCCAGTCTAGTTCACATGGGATGGGAGACATTAAAAGAAGAATCAAATTAGGAAACTTTGCTATGAGCAGAAAAAGTCACAGGCCATAGCTGGGTGGAAGAGAACCATTAATAAATGTGAAACTCTGAATTAAGATTCCATCTCACATTAGACAGAACACGAATTCAATCTTACTCCTTTTTACAATGAATGTAATATTGCATCAGAATAAATACAGTGGCTTATGAGTCGCTTACAGAGTGCACTATTGCTACCAGGTATGCTTCCAAAATAAGAAAAGGGGGGGGGCTTACTTTGCCTGACCTAGTTCAGTCGCCATCATCCCCATCCATTTATAATCCCTGGACTCCCAGTATCTTCAACATGGTACCTATTTTACAGTGTATAAAATTTACACCATCAAGCAAAATCCCAGTCTATATCTACAGGACTCTGAATCTCCTTTTAAATAAGACATTAGTAAGCATCACATCAGAAAACCTTCCATTAATACTGCTTCGGATCTCCTGTCTTACAGAGCCAGTGATTGAATTCTCTACCCCCACAGGAAAAATTAAAATATGGCAGATAATATTGTCTTCTCTCAGTGATTCTGTTTTCTGCTGAGACTATCATAAGGAGTGCTGTGTTACTTTTCTCTGAAAACAACACAGAGGAAAATAACACAACACTTCATTTAATGTCTAGTTGCCCAGAGTCCATTGCAGCCAAGAAATGGTTCATGACCTCAGGGCATTTTTTGTCAACAATAGTCATGGCCGTTACAGGTGTGGCATGGGAGGGGGGGTATTTATTTACTTTTGTTTCTGCTCACCTCTAGAGGCTGGGAAGAA